TTCAATTTATTGTGTGATTTGAATACTCTCGTTGTCACAAAATCTCTCAAGTAGTTAATATGGTTGCCTTTATTAATTATATTTTTTTAATTTTTTCATGGTATTAATAAAATACTTGGTAAATAAATATATAGCATTATTTTGTATTATAACTTTGATATTTAATTAGAAAAATAGTGCACAAAAAAGATAATAGATAATGTAGTGAATATAATCAATTGATGAATTTGAATGTAAAAATTTTTACATTTGAGAAAAATAAAGACAATATAACTTATTATTTTTTGTTGTAACTACTAAATTATTATTTATATAATTTAATAAGAGTAAAATAGAGTACTAATTATGCCAACTTTGATTGGGATGAGGTTCGAACCTAAGACCTTTTTTTATTGAAATCAATGAGTAAGTTAACGGTGAACTAACGACAATTCTTAAAATTTTAACGGAATTAGTAACGGTGTGTGGGTATTTTAAGAAATTTGAGTGTAAAATTTAAATCTGATCAATCTTTTAATTAATCTGAGCCATTCATTTGATTAAAATCTGTGACCGCCATTTTTTCTACCCATTATAAGCCTAACTCTATTGGGCTTTTATTAGTATAGTAGATATAAGCCTAACTCTATTGGGCTTTTATTAGTATAGTAGATAGTAGATAGATAGTAGATATTGGAAGCCATCAATAAACAACTAAGATTTAAAATATATTAATTAGAATGAATATTATTTAAAAGATATCATCAATAGATTATTTTTAATAATATATTTTGTAACATTGATTTTATTTATAAATAATAATAAAGAATAATATGTGTAAATGATAGCAGGCAAATTGATGTCATTTTAATGAAGCTACATTATTATTGTTGTAATGACCAACAATATTATAATAATGAACTAGGATCAATGATACTTTACAGTATGAATTTCTAATATCTATTCTCTCAATTTTACTTTTTAATGTGGCAAACAATAAGAGGCTATCTTGAACATATGAATCTCAAGAAACGTGACATAAAAAATTTGAGTGAGGGAGAACTAATATTTTCATTTTTTTAAAAATTAATAGTGCGTGTTTGCTTTTCTCCATATACTTCTTATGATAAAATAAATAAATAAAATAAATAAATAAATAAATAAATATATATATATATATATATATATATATATATATATATATATATATATATATAAAGTATATTAAGGCAGGATTATATTGAAATTGTTCATGCATAGATAATTGAAGGTTGAATTTGCGTATTTAAATAGGTAATTCTTCTCCCAAAGGTTGAGTTCCCAACCCCAAGGGCTCCCCACACTCCGACCCGACAGAGCATTGTAGGAAGTTGTAAATCACGGTGACTCAATGGTTCAGCAGACAGGGCCAAATGCTGATATGCACAAGGAATCTGCCCACTTTGGACATAATTCCCGCACTGCCGCTGCCGAGGTTAAAACCTTGGTCTCTTCTCCCAAATACTACCCACTAAACCATTGAGCTAAGCCCGTGCGGGTTAAATAGGTAATTCTAAGTTTACAAATGCAAGATAATATAGTCAAGATTGATTATAATTGTCAATAAAATAATTGTATAGGTATGATTGAAACCAAATACGAGACATAAGGGAAAACAAATAAAAATTAGGGCATAAAATATTAAATATATACTAATATTGTTTGAGGAGATTCCGACATTAGGATTTGTGGTTAAGTTCTATTAAGACTTAGCTTTAATATTAGAATTAGATTAATGGTGTAGTTATAATTCTATATTAGACTTTAATATTAGAATTAGACTAACGGTGAATTAACGGAAAAGTTAAATGGATAATCATATAATTAAGGATAAATTATAAAATCTTAAAAGAAAAAAATTAAAACCTGGACAATATGAACCATTCATTTGATTTAATAATTTGGCGGACATTTTTTCTACCCAATGTTAATAATTAAATAAATTCGCTGGTCAAATCCGCTAGTATAATCTGCAAACGCTAACCGCTAACTGCTGATTGTCAAACAAGGACATTGCGAGGTAGTTCTCACTTCAATTTGTTGTGTGATTTGAATACTCTCTTTGTCACAAAATCTCTCAAGTAGTTAATATGGTTGGCTTTATTAATTATATTTTTTTAATTTTTTCATGGTATTAATAAAATACTTGGTAAATAAATATATAGCATTGTATTATAACTTTGATATTTAATTAGAAAAATAGTGCACAAAAAAAATAATAGATAATGTAGTGAATATAATCAATTGATGAATTTGAATGTAAAAATTTTTAAGGAAAATATTTCTTTTAATTAATTTATTGATAATTAATAATTTTTTTTTCACTGAATAAAGACATTGTAAGGATAATGTAGCGAATATAATCAATTAATAAATTTGAATATAAAGAATTTTTATATTGAAGAAAAATAAAGACAATATAACTAATAAAATTATTTCTCTTATTTAATTTATTAATAATGAATAATTTTTTTTTTGAATAAAGACATTGTGGACACATAATTCTAAATTAAAGAAATACATATGTATTATTTTTCGTTGTAACTACTAAATTATTATTTATATATAATTTAATAAGAGTAAAATAGAGTACTAATTATGCCAACTTTGATTGGGATGAGGTTCGAACCTAAGACCTTTTTTTTTTTATTATTAAAATCAATGAGTAAGTTAACGGTGAACTAACGGCAATTCTTAAAATTTTAACGGAATTAGTAACGGTGTGTGGGTATTTTAGAAAATTTTAGTGTAAAATTTAAATCTGATCAATCTTTTAATCAATCTGAGCCATACATTTGATTAAAATCTGTGACCGTCATTTTTTCTACCCATTATATGCCTAACTCTCTTAGGCTCTTATTAGTATAGTAGATATAGTAGATATATATATATATATATATATATATATATATATATATATATATATATATATATATATATATATATTCATTCATTCATTCTACTTTAATTTAAACGTCATACTTTTCTTTTGAGTGAAATCTATTTTTGATCCTACTATTATAGGGGTCATTCTAATTTTAGTCCACCATAATTATTTTTATCACATTGCATCCATTATTATTAAACGTATTTCAATTTTAGTCCATGAAAAATCTAAAAATAGACTAAAATTGAAACACTTTTAATAATAGTGAACGCAATGTGGCAAAAATAATTATGATGGACTAAAATTAAAAAAATTTCTATAACAGTAGGAACAAAAATGAAATTCACTCCTTTTCTTTTTATCCATTAATCTCAAAACAATGTACACCATTCTAATTTAAACATTACAATTTTTACTTTTCCCAATTTACTCTTGATTCATTTTAACAGTTTTGAAAAAGATATCACATCTTATTTATTTTCTTCAAAATAGTTAATTCATTTTAACAGTTTTGAAAAAGATATCACATCTTATTTATTTTCTTCAAAATAGTTGTATTAAGGTTAAAACTTGTGTGAGTCTTGTCCATGAGACGGGTAAAGTCAAGATGTAATAGTTACTCTAGAAATGTAATACTTATATTGAAAAATGTAATACTAATCAGGAATAAAGTGTTTGTTACTTATAAGGGAAACTGTAATACTTTTGATGAAAAACATGTAATGCTTTTACATTTTGATTTAAAAGTATTACATTTTTTCTCAAAAGTATTACGTTTTATCTTATAAGTAACAAAAACTTTAAACTTTATTAGTATTACATTTTTTAGTATAAGTATTACATTTTCATATTAACCCGACTCGTCTCACAGACCAACACCGGAGAGTCACTCTTGTATTAAACATAAACATTCCTCACCAAAATGAGATAACAGAAAGTAGTATTTATGATAGTTAATTTCATTTTTGGTCCTAGATTTATAGATGACAATCTACTTTTAGTCTTTTTTTTTTTAATTAGAATTTTCTCATTTGGTACTAGTATTATTGTGATATGACCATTTTTAGTCTTCTGTCAATAAAAATCATTGAAATGTCGTTAAATACAAAGACATTTTGATCTTTTTTTATACAAAGTAGGTTAATCCGCTATATATTTTTTTTTTGAAAAAATTCATAATTGAAGACCGAAATGTCCTTATATTTAATGATATTTAAACTATTTTGTTGATAAAGGACCAAAAATGGTCATGTCACAATAATACTAGGACCAAAAGTAGATGTTCTAATAAAAAAGGACTTAAAGGCCCTGTTTAGTACATGGTTGTTAGCTGATAGCTGTTAGCTGTTAGCTGATTTGGTTAGAGGGTATGACTTGTTGATAACATTAGCTGACGGTAGAAAAATGTTTGGTAAATTAGCTGTTAGGTGATAGCTGTTTGGTATAATTTCTTTTCTCAAAAAACTAATTGAAAAAGTTGTTTTGAGTAGCTTTTTGAATTTTAGCATTTTGGAATTACGAAAAGCTAATTAACCAAATACTTATATTGATTTTTTTTTAACCAAGTTAAACAATTAATTGTGGTTAAATAAATTAAAATTAGCTGATAAGCTAACTAATTTATCAAACAAGGTGGATCCTATAAATATAGGGAAAAAAAATGGAATTAACTCTGTTTATGAGTAGAGTGAAATTTTCGGAGTAATATAAATATGAATACAGGTGATTTGGAAACCGGCAAGACCAATACTATTGTGGGAAACAAAACTATTATAAGGTGGAATTATCCAAAAAGTCAATTTGATGTCAACACGTGAAATGGGTTGGGACCGGCAGCTTGGATTATTGAAATAATGATTTTGAGTTGACCAAGACTTTAATAGTACAAAAGAAAAGTATAATTGTTTTTTAAAAAATAAAAGAAAATTATAATTATAACTATAAACGACTAAACCCATGCTGGAAATTTTGTTCAGTTTCTCCGAACTTTCTGTCCTAAATACGCCTAGACCAAACTTTAGATAACTATTATTTTTCACAATAAAAAAAATAAAAAAAAATATTGCAAAGAATTCTATAAATTCGGCATTTCTAGCTTAATCCGCCCTTCAATTCAACAGATTCAGTTTGCAGAATACTGTGATCTTGACTCCACGCTGCGATGGGCAGTTGCGCCTTGGAAGACAATTCTCCTTGTATGGATATAGATCTCAATGCTACCGTCAACGAAATTCCGGTTAGTACAATTTTTTTTTTTTTTTTTTTTTAATGACGAAAGAAACTCACAACTCTTTCTAGTATGAGTAAACTTATTTTGTGATTTTAACAGAAAAGGATCACAAACAAGTAAATCAGTTTAACTTACTCATAATTGATGGGTTCAAATTAAATCAAAAGGGCAAGGGTTCAAACCTTGTGATTACAAGTGTAGATCTCTTGCCGAGTTACCCGGTCATTAAAACCTTGATTGAATAGATTATTGTCTTTCTCTTTTTTGTACGGTACGTACAAGAAAAATCGCAATTTTTCCTGTAGTGGTGATACGATCTAGAGGATTTATATATGTTTTGGGTCAGATGAGGGATGGACAACATGAAACGTTGGAGGAAGAGTTGAACGAGACTAGGGCGGAGAACAAAAAGCTGTCGGCGGCGCTGTCGGCGATGTGCGAAAACTACAGCAGCTTGCAGAGTCGGTTACTGGATTTCATGCAAGAGAGATCGTGGAAGAGGAGGAAGTCCGACCGGGACACGACAACCTGCGGGAGTTCCGAAATCGGGTACGATGAAGCATCGGTATTATCCAAGAGGCCTAGGGAAATCAGAACTAATATCTCCAGAGTTCACGTCCAGACCGATCCATCCGACACCAGCCTTGTACGTAGTTTTTTTGGTTTTTTTTTTTTTTTTTTTTTTTTTTTTTTTCATATTTATCAATTTTCTTGATATCAAGTTTTCATATCATAAAACTATAAAAGGCTATTCACAGCCCATGAGACGTGAATGGGCAATTTATACCATGCATAATGATCTATCTTGTGTTGTAAACTCTGATTCAAAGTAACATTTAAATTATGTGTTGTAATTGATATATTCTGTACCTACTGCTACCACAGTTTATGTATCTGTGAATACACATAATATGTACAATAAACACAAAATATTTTAACAACATATTATGTGTATGCATCTAACATATTATTTTACTTTCACGATGATATTTAAGGCTCAAACTTACTGCATATATGGCGCTATAATTGTTGTGTTTTTGTGCGCAGATTGTGAAAGACGGATATCAATGGCGAAAGTACGGTCAGAAAGTAACGAGAGATAACCCATCTCCTAGAGCATACTACAAATGTTCTTTTGCACCTTCTTGTCTTGTGAAGAAAAAGGTACAAATAGTAATTAATTAATTGATATAAAGTGAATTACATTTTTCTATTCAATTGGGGTTACTAATCGGACCATATAGCTATAATAATAAATACACATCGTTCTCTTTCATTTTATTCACCAATTTCTTCTTTTTTATTATTATTAAGCTGGAAAAATGACATTTTAGTTTCTTAATTATATTATAATAGTCAATTTAGTTCCTTAATTATACATGCAACCCCATTTTGTTTTAAATTGTTTGTTTGATGGTTATTTTAGCCCCTCACCTCATAGAGCTGTTATAAGTTCCTCATAACCTAAAATGGCCACTAAACAAACAATTTAGGGACTAAATGGAGTTACATGTATAATCCAGGGACTGAGTTGGCTATTCTAATAAATTGAGAGACTAAAATATATGACCATTCTCTCTTATTATTATATTATTATTAAAAATACTATTTGCTTTAAGTATTTTGTCCAAAAATACGATGCTATCTATATTCTTGACTTATCTAAATTAACCTATTCAATTATTACTAGTTTTTTTTTTTAAAAACCAATTATTACTAGTTAATATGAAGAACTCTCACTATTTAGAATGGTACCATTTGACATGTTACATCTTATTCATTTATGATGGAATAAGACTAGTCAATGCATTAGTAGCTAAAAATACGAATAAATGTTATTACTTGTCACACATCGTATCATACTATCATTTGGCAAAAAAATTTGTTAATAAGGATTACATTTTTGTTAATAAGGATTACGAATAATGCCTCAAAGAATAAAGAAATAAAACTCTGATATTTTTTATTGCAGGTGCAGAGAAGTGTGGAAGATAAATCCATCTTGATAGCTATATACGAAGGTGAACACAACCATCCCCACCCATCAGAGACAACCCAAACATTTACCTTAGCATCACAAACATCTAATCTAGGATTTCACAATAACATACAAAGATCATCATGTGATTCCATAGTGGACAACACCAAGGAAATACAACAACTTTTGGTTGAGAAAATGGCTTCTTCCTTGACAAATGATCATAGCTTCACTGAAGCACTGGCAGCAGCCATATCCGAGAGGATATTAGACAACCCCTTAGATTGATGGTGATGAAATCATAGTTGTATACCTCTCCGTCCCGTTTTACCTGTCTTACTTTCCTTTTAGTTTGAGGGGCAAAATTAGAAAGTTAGTAACATTAGTTTTGTTGCATTCAAAATCGTGCAAAAAGCAAATGTGGCAAGGAATTGGGGACGGAGGGAGTAATTAATTAGTGTCGTTATAAGTCACATGATTTTTTTTGGTAAGTGTATGATTTAGTTGATGATTTTTAATGTATTCCTGCATGGTTTAATTTGTATATGAGATTATGAGTTCGATTTGCTTAGAAACTTTCTAATTTCTTTTAGTTTATATTTATATATCTCTATATATATATATATATGCTAGGTTAAGTATGATGGAATTGTGAAAGTGGAAAAAAAGAATCAACCTTTGAAAAGGATTAAACTAACTTTCCCATCAATTAAACTATTGGAAAAAATGTCAAAGATCTTGTGGTCAAGCGGTGTGAAGTGACTATTTCAAGTGGGAGGTCATGAGTTTGAGCTTCAGTGGAGGCAATATTAACACGTATATGAATGGATATAGGTATATATGAATGGATATTACATGGTCAATAGTATTAAAAAAACAGGTATATATAAACGGATACTACATGTAACAGGGTCAATATATAGTACTATATATAAAAAAAAAAAAAAAACACTATTGGAAAATAATTGAGCAAATATATTTGTCAGGAGAATTAATTAATATGTTTGGTGTTATCTAAACGCATAACAATTAAATTGTCAAAGACAATTTTTACAAATATTTGATTAGTTTAAACTTTCTAATTTTTTTTTTTTTTTAAATCTCCAATATACCCTTACCAGATATAAACATGAAATACGCATACCATTAATACAAAATGATGAAGCAAACAATTAGTGCTAACTCAGAATGCATTCTTCTATGCAATATGCATGTATATATAATAATATAATATGAATGTGTTCGACGTACAACTGAACACGTACAAAAAATTCGCCAATTAAAAAAACGACACAGACACTTTTTTGATGAATTGTAATTTTATGTGATGAGTTGGGATCATCTCTTCAATGCTGAAGTATTATAATTTTTCATATAGTTAAAGCATGAGAGAAATATAATTATTTATAAAAGAATTTTTTTAACATAATGCCAAAATGTTTAAATATGTAAGTAAATATGTTTTATACTTTCTCAATCACTTGAAAAAAGAATCATACTCTAATAAGATAAATTTATTTTTCTTAATTTAAACTTTCAAGAAAGTTTAAACTTCCTTGGCTACCAAACACCATCTAAGAGAATTGTTATTGTTAAATTCTATGTTGCACAGAAACAAGAAATGGAAAATGATAAAATACCAAAGTCAAAAAATGTAGGAAATGAAACATTGGGGAAACATACAAATAAAGAAATATAGGAGTATATTTGCAAATAATTATATTAAATATGTATAAACATCTATTACTAGTTTGATAAATAAAAATATATAACTAAAAAATAAAACTTTAAAAGTAATGCACTAAATTAAATAAGTAACAAATAGTTAAACATCACAATGTCTAATTGAAATAATAACATCATACCAATATCTAAAATTTAAAATATTTATAAACTTTAGCAATCATGTTTTAATTAACATATCTATAAAATTAAAAATACAAACTCTAGCTAAGGTTTGATCATCCAATGATAGGTAGACAAATTAGAGGATGCCAACATATTCCATGCTTGCAAATTTGCATTGTCTCATCCAACATTTCACATTTGTTATTTGTCTTCATAATATTATTCAGTAATTCTTGATAGAAGAAAAAGAGAAGCAATGTCACGAAACCGTAGTTATCGATCGCACTCGTTTTATTGGAAAATAGCAGGTTTCTTGACCTTAAAACATGTTTCTGAACTTTTTCTTAATTGAAAAATGACCCAAAAATGCTTTTGAATGAGTTTTCATGAATTTCATAGACTAAACGTCTCTGAAATGGAAAAAAATAGTGGGGTGTTTGGTAAATGACTACTAGCTGATTGTGTTAGTGAGTTTGACTAGATGATAGCATTAGTTGATTGTAGGAAATTAAAGTGTTTGGTAAATTGGTTGTTAGCTGATTACATACAAAATGACTTTCTCAAAAAGTTAATCGAAAAAGTTACGTCGAGCAATTTTTTGAATTTTAGCATTTTGGTGAAATAATTGTTACAAAAAACTAATTAATCAAACACTCATATTGATTGTTTAACCAAGTGAAATAGCTAATAGTGGTCAAATAATTAAGTTAAAATTGACTTATAGACTAACTATTTTACCAACATGGCTAGCATCTTTTGGAGTTTCCATATTAAAATATATTCAAATTTAATTTAATTTAACTAACTTTTTTTTTTTGAATTTTTTTTTTGTACCTTTTTTTTTTTTTTTTTGAAAAAATTTAATTTAACTAACTAGTTGCTTTAAGGAGGCTGAAATATTCTTATCTAATAGTGTCAAATTAAAATTTAACAATTGCTTCGCAATTATTGCATTGTTGATATACTGGCGTGTGCACACATATATGGACACAATTTTAAACAAAACTAGCAACTCATATGCTACTAGTAACTCATATAGTCATATGCTACTGACTCACTAGATTTTATTTTTATTTTTTAAATTGCAAACCTGTTTGCATTTTTTGAGTACATTATGATTCACAAATACTTAACTAATGATATGTTGATCAATAAACATGGTTGACATGGTGGTTTAGCACCTAGTCTTGTAAGCATGAGGTTGGGGGTTCAATCCCCACCCATGTGAATGGAGCAAGAATATGTTGATCCACATCAATACAAAATGTCTAATTATGATGAAAATAAATATACAATTTAAGTAGTATGTCCGATTATACCTTATGCAAAAAGTAATAATCTATTTCAAAACTTACTTATACTATTACAAGAGTCTTGTACCCTATGCATAATTAGCACCTAACAAATTTCGATTGGCATAACTTAGCTTGTGACTCATCTTAAATTAGGCCACCACACAGCATGCAAAAGAGCCTTTATGCTATACAAGTCAAATCCCTTCTAAAATAAAATTGAATATATACTAGTGCAAATTCACATCCTTTTTCAATGTGGGATAAAACTAAGGCTACTTCCAACTTCCACCTCAAACGAGTCTACTTTGAAAATCACTTCTCATTTACTTATTATTCGTTTTGAGTGTATAATATATCAATTTTTTGATCTTACTACGAAAAAATCTGAATTCACTTTGATCCGACCCAAACCGTAAAAAGATTTTATTTATTGGGAGTCACGAGCTTTTTGTGAAAAAAAATGATTTTATGTACAATTTATAATTTTTTTTTAGTAAATAAAGATTTAATTATCCGTTAGAATAAGATATAAACCCTTAAAATGACCTCATTAAATAGCTTCTGTAATTAAGACGACATTATTGGAAGAATTAAGACGAGACGACATTAGAGTTGAGGTTCAACCTTTTGGAAGAATTAAGACTACATTATTGGATATGCGGTTGTGGGCGTTGTGCACCATTGATTTCATTTCTGAAAATAAAGAAGCTGATGTCATCATTATTGCGTCAGCAAGCCGATGGACCGTGATATCATGCTTCCCGAGTTCCAACTTCCAAGTACCAAGACCCTCTACTACGTCTAGCAGCAACATGACTAGCTTATAAATAAAATAAGAGTCGGAAATGCATATTAAATCCTCTGCGTTTTTCCATGAAAAATCGATTACGTTTAAATAGGACAATTTTTTTTTTTTTTTAACCAAATTTTCTAGGTTTCTAAATTTATCACACTATATCATAAACTCTCATTTTTAAAAAGGGATAAGGCCTATTCAAGGACGGAGCCAAGAATTCTGTTGAGGGGCGAAGAAGCAGGGACGGATCCAGAAATTTTTTTCAGTAAAGGCGAAACATTAAAACAAAAGAGATAATTTGGAAAAAATAAATTACCTAAAAAATATATGTATAAATATTATTGGATATGAGCAAAAAATAAAACACATTGAAACTTTATAAAAACTTTATAGTACATGCATGTACTATATATACATATATACATACAAAGGTTATATATGCAGTGGGGGTGGAGGGAGGGGGGCAGCTGCCCCCCGCCCCCCTTAGCTCCGTCCCTGGGCCTATTAGATGTGACTCCGATTACATTTTTGCATTCATGATCCACGACTTTAATATACACTAAATTGGTGATTCAAACCTTTTTTTATTCTCTATTGTATTGTTTTGTTTTTTTAATTTACGTCGTCGGGATGCTAGGGGGCGCGGACGGCGCCCTTGGAGCGCCTCGGCCCCACGGTCGCCGCCCTCCCCGATGCACCGACGGCCGCTGGCGCCCCCCCACCTCCTGCCTTGCACCGCCTCACCTTCCACCTTGCACACCCCCTCCTTGCTTCAATCGTTATACCCTGCACCACGGCGCGCGTAGCATTGTGCACCCCGCGCCTCCCAAAACAATGTCGTTTGGTAAGTTATGTAGGCAGTTGACGTGATTATGTGTATTTGTTTTTACAATTATGTACTTTTTTATACAATTATGTACATCAGAAACAGGAAATTTATGTGTATTATGTTAAGAGTTGATGTTTATTATGTTAAAATTTTATGTATATTATGTATTATGTTAGATTATATGTATTATCTTTTTTTTTTTTTTTTTTTTTTTTTACAAGTATGTGTATTTTGTTATACAATTATGTACATTCATGTATACAATTATGTGTATTTTAGTATAAAATTATGTACATTTTTGAACATGAGATTCTTTTTAAAGAAAATTAACCGCCAACACAGGGTAGCGAAATTTCAAAAAAAAAAAAAAAATGAAACGACGTCGTTTTGCATTAAGGCGCACAATGCAATGCGCGCCCTGGTGGAGGATATAAATTGCCCTCCTTGCTTGCCTGTCTGCTTTTCTGTCATCCCAATCCAATAAGATTTGGGCCAACATTTTTCCTTTACCCCCCACTTGGGCAAAGACTTTTCACTTTTCCAATAAAATGAGTCCCGAGATCCTATTTCCCCATCACTATATATATTTGTGATTACTCAATATTAGTTTGTTTGTTAGAAGTGTAAATTCTTATTCAATATTAGCTTGAGTCCATTTTGATCAAAATTTTGAGAAGGATAAGATTGCTTGGACAAAAAACCACCAAGACTTGTCAAAATTAGAAACTTGACTAAAATTACAAGGGGTCATACTGGTATGTGTTTTTTAATTGAATAAATTGGAAATTATGATGAAAGTATTACTAGCTAGCGAGGGTGGAAAAATACATGGTTT